ATGTATACTCGTAGGAAAATTAGTACTTTTTTGTCAGGTACACAAGCCATAAGGGATTGACCTTGATTTTTATCACTGCAACAGACATACTACGCAAGAATCATTCAAAAATTCAAATCCGTTTGGATAATTAACAAAATTAAGAAATAAATATCTAATCTTTTAAGATCGTAAAACTATTAATTTATGGTGATTACTAAAATATTTTAAGGTAATAATAACTTTCCCAGTATTACATTGTAAATGTGCTAACCCAATATTGAATATACAAACTGAAAAGTTATTGGCTTACAACCAGCTTCATTATGTATTTTAAATAATTTCAACTCAAGATATCGTTGATTGTCTTACTGAAATACATTATATGAGAAGATATGGTAATGTAGTGTGGGCGTGTATATATATATATATATATATATATATATATATATATATATATATATATATATATATATATATATAAAAACTAAAAACCGTTACAACGAAAATCCAAGATACAATGGTAGTATTACCCTAGCCGACCCCTTGATACACTTGTTTTATCATTAAAACTTCATATTGCTAAGTACTATAAAGGAATACATTATTAAATTCACTTTCTACCTATCTTTCTTTGTGTTCATAACAGATTCAACAACTCAAAGATCAACTAACTCATGAAACAAGTAAACGTCAATTACTTTACTTAAAGAATCCATCTTCTGTTAACCAAAGTCAACCAAGTTTAACAAGTTATGGAAGTTCAGTAACTACAACAGGATATGATTATACTGAAATGAAATCTTCAATAGATAATAATCGTCAACAGGTAAGAGGAAAACAGAAAAATCTATATTATATTAATCATGCATATGAATGAACAATTAATGAGACTAGGAATCAATTAAAATGATATAGATATACTTTAAGACGTTTTTAAATTGATAAGGTCATCCATACAATTAAGGATTTCAGTCAGCTGTAAATAGCTTACAACTTCCAAGTTAACGTAATTAGATAAAAAGGAATGTAACTGTTGTTAAACAATCATTCTAACAAATAATATCACTCAGAAAAACGTAATTCCCAGGCTACTGTATAGTCGATATCATTCAAAATTTAAAGTTCTACAAACTTGTGGAGAATAACATTTAGTTAAATGAATAATAAAAAAGACGTTCCAGTTTAAAGAAGCGAACATAAATATTAAATTAGCGTAGACACAAAGGGAATCCGAGGGCAAGAACTTATCCGTCTCATCCTGGACGAAACTAAGACCAATGTAGATGTACAATCACCAGAGATAGGCATTGTTAAAAAGCCTCAAGTTCAAATTCACGTACAAGAACTCTACCAAAACTAAGATTTCAATAATTATATTTTTAAATTAAATAATGGTACTGAGGAGAAAATGAAACTGTAAAGTATAAATGCATTTCACACGTGATCACATTCAATACTAAATTATACTTTTATAATTCATAGGATTCATTCTTGGTGGGACTGTACAAGCCAACTACTGCACCATCTAGATATGACCCATACTACTACCAACTAACAGGCTCAATACCTGCTAGACTGAACCGATCAACGGGATCAAATTTATTAATAAAACCAAGAAGATCATTTATTGAATCAAGACCATATCAATCAACGACAAAAATAGATAAAACAAACCCCTCGACCCAATATCATAGTGATGAAAGAAATAGACAACGTCTTGAAGAAAACATCACAACAAATACAGATATTAGTCCGTTGGAGCAATCTTCCCTACCTAGAACACCGATTGCTGCTAGTCGTTCTACATGGCGTGAGTCAAGAGATAGTACAGCTACAATAAACCGGAGTACAAGTGATTCTACAATACGTCCAAGAGAAGATAAATCAAAAGGTGACAACTAAGAGTAGTAGTATCTGTAATATTTTGAGCCTATAAATTATCATTATTTGAAAAAAAACAAATCAATTTCCTATATTAAATTGGCCCGAATACGATATGTGAAATTAATTGTTAAGTATCCCCACTATGTCTTTTAACTAATTTAATCATTATGAAACAATCACTATAATGTGCACTAAAACCCTTTTTTATCCCATCAGTACTACTACCATTAATTTTACTAACATCTTTTCACCTTTTAAAACTAAATTGAGATCGTTTTTGACAAATATAAACTCAAAGAGGAAGTAATAGTGCAAATATAATAATTATTACTGCTGTTATTACTGTTAATCTACGAAAAGTATATTTCACTATTACGACACACGTTTATGCACACATTGCTTACATCAGTGTGAATAAATTTAGTAAATTGTAAACCATATTAAATCACATCACTTTGTAATATACTTTAATCAGCTGATCCAATCCTGTCTTAATAAATCCTCTTATATTCATACTTTCACTTCTAGTAAATCATAAATTATTCTAGTCTGATTATCAATATGCAAGTAAAAAATGTTACCCCTCTACGGGAAGAATAACTACACAATATCCAGTTGGCCCCCCTCCTATGTCCTGTGTTTTCGCCCTTAATTCTCCAATTCCTCTTCTTCTTGTGGAACACGAACTGAGTTCAGCTCATATCCGCTACACGAACGTGTACAAATGTGAAATTACGATTACTGAAAAATCGTTGTACGATACCTATTTGTTCAGAGCTTTTTCTAATATTTGCCTAGTCATTATTTGGAATTTGTTTTGAAAATTCATTAAAACACAAAATCGTTTGATCAAATCTTGTTTTTTTTAAATATTCGATTACCAAACACGAGTCACTACACTTCAAGACATTCTCATTCACATTTAATTACAAACCATCCTTGTAACGAACTAGGATTTAGATCTGTTGCAAATAACTTCATGTAAAACGTCGAGCATTCGAATACATTCTGGTTACACAAAGATGATGAGTTTGTTTAGATTGCAGTAGTATTACCATATCAATGTAAAATGTTCGCCTACTTAAAGACTATTTAACGCTTCATCATTAAAATTACTAGGTTCCTCAAAACCTCATTTAGCCAGATTACACACTCTTCACACAACTCGATTGAATTGTTTTTTTAGTGAATTCATTATTAGCTATGGAATAGTGATATGGTCACCCGCCTCAACTGCCAATACACGAGCTGAAAGGCATCAATTATCAGACTCAGAACCCGGCAGTTTCATTATTACCCATGATATCACAAAATACACATCGACAGGAAGATAAAAAGTTTATGGAAGAAATAATAACTTTTTTACTACAAGCCGAGTTCGTTTGTTTGTTGATGGGCTAGTTAGAAATAAAATTAAATCCCCTAATACTAATTTTGATAAATAAATGGGGTAAATCTATTAAGCGTGTGAGAATATAAATTTTTAAGTGGTGCTTAGAATTAGCATCAAGGCAACAGAAGATAATAAGATCTCAACAAATAAGACTGATTTTCTGGAACTGGCAAACAAGATTTCAAAAGTCCTAGTTATGGTCTAACTATTTTGAGAACTATTAATACCGTCAACAATTACCTTTGCATTAAAAAACCTAGTAGCCAGTCAGTGGGAGATGAAATTTCGTCTCACGACTAGTATCTTAAGGAAAATTACCATACTGATTAACTTTTTTACTTTCTACATGCAAATCCTCCGATTTTCCGATCTTATTTGTGTTGTAAGAAGCTTCGAGTTTATTAGTTGAAAATTATAAGTGCGTAGTCAAACTTAACGGACAGTGGTCCAAAGCATTTGCCATAGGAAATCATAATCACCAGTTCTGGAAAGTAAAAAAGGATTTGAAGAATCCAGCCCATGTGTTATATTTATTTATTTACCACCTTAGAACTTCCATGTGGTTTCGTTCTCACCCAAATGGTGAAAATGTAATAAACAAGAAAATTGATGTAGAATTTCGGCAACAAAGCACACAAATTAAAAAATATACGTCCTAATTAATGCAAGACAAGTGAATCCTGACAGCTACAACATAAATTTAAGCCATGGATTTTATAAAAATGAATAGAACCGCTTTTACGATACTAGACTGAAGAAAAAAACATTTAGGTGTAAACTACAATACAGATACTGGAATTTCTCAACAGACAAGGTATCTCGCGAAAATCACTAAGACGTTCTTGTAAGCACAATAGCAAGTTAGCCATCATTTATGGGAAATACATACCAGCTTGTTTCTTATGATCTGTACTCAACCCGTAAATCTATACTGCATTAACTTGGTTTATTACGTCAGTAGGCTTTACGGCAAAAAAAACAGGTGACATAGTACGTCCTTTCAAGCGTGTGATATCAGTACATTAAATCTAATTAACCACCTCACACAGGTACAGATTAGATTTTCTAAAAACTGACTAGTTTTACCGTCGTGGACCGATGAACACTAAAAAAATTTCAGGAATACTAGCGATTCAAAGTAGGACAAATAGGTTATTTATATAATATACACCCGAACGCAAAAACGCTTGATAAAACTATTAAGAGCAACTGTAATGCTTCGTTTTTTTTAAAAACGGTTCAAGCAATAGCAGCTTCCATACACAATGCGATGTAACTATGAAGATAAAACTTGGCAAAAGTAAGCTCTGGCGCTTATGGAGAAACTAGTCAAGTTCATGTAAAAAAAAGCAAGTCGTAAGATGTATAAACCAGTAATGGAGGTATTCCAGAACTAAAAGCCTATACTTTTATTTACGGGTTGTGCCAATACCATGTGACCACAGTAAGTCTATAGTAGGTTTTAGCCAGCTAAAAATCCAAATAAAACCTAACATTAGAAACAGTCATGTTACGAGGGTGCAGAAAGGTTTATTATGAAACTTGGGATCCCGAACTGAATGGCTCAAAAACTCTAAGCACTACCGAGAAGCATTTATTTAGGCCTTCCGAAGAGCGAATTTTCGATAAGACTATATACAAATCTGATGATTGAAATACGTTTACAAAATACCAGGTGTTAACGATGCTTCCGTGGCTTGGATACTCTAAATTATAAACATGTAATACATCGCAAACTAACTTTTTTCTTGGTCTGTCTTTCTGTTGGTTTTTCCGTTTCTTTTTTGCCTGCTTTAAAGGGAGCTTTTTGTTGACGAAACTAGCACTGCGCTATTACAATTACCGCATACTCAGTACAGAATTAGTAAGACTTACATCGAAAGCAAACGCTTCAGCCTCGGCCTTAGCCTTTGCCTTATTCTGCATGAGTTCTTTGTAATTAATGTATGGGTTTTTCGGTTTCTTAGCGCCCATTTTGAGAAGTAGGGATTTGCGAGTTTCCTTTCGTTCCACTCCTGATTGCATCGATATATTATACCGTAATATGTCCAGAGGTACATCTCCTAATCTGACATACATTTCCTCGTTTTCTTCCTAAATCGGCAGTAAGTATTATTCGCAAGACTGAACAACCTCATTTTTCGCACTTTTCTTTTTCAATTTGACCTTCATTTTACAATAGCCGCAACTTTCAGACCTCAGTATTAAGAATAGGAGGTCTATCAACATATATTAATCCTTGCATTTTGTAACACTGTGGAGATCCAGTCTCATTTATAATATATCAACAGAACGTGATAATATTACGTGTTCCGGTAGAGAATTCCAGTAGTTCACTACTCGGTACGAGAAACGAAATGAAGACGTAGACGATTTGAACTCGGTTTTTGAACTTTCATAGAGTGTCCTCTCAAATGATCAGTTCTAGAGGGAAGGAAAAGATAGGACATATTAATACCAGGGTCATCGTTCAGTTTACGATAAGCCAATATTAGATCACCCCTAACCTGCAGTAAGATAACGGACGAAGTATTATGACGGTTTACTTTTCAGTATTTTATGCTGTCAGCGTAATCTCTAGGAAGGTCGACTGATTTCAATATCTAGTATCTCTATTATGAGCTTACTTAAATCAAATAACTTCTTTGCTCTCACTTCTTTTTGTTACGGTTTCATTTCCTTGTTAATCTCCAGTGAGAGGTAGTCTAGTGGCACGACCACACTCGTTCAAGTCAATTTGTTAGCTGTTTGTTGGTTTGTTTATCTCATAATTTTAGCGAGTTTGTCTTAGGGCATTAGGGTTTCCGGAACTCACAAATATCAGACCATCGGACTCTGGTCGGTTGATTGTAATGTGGAAAATAATGGAAGGAAAAGTTGAATGCTAATATAGACGATTGCTTCAAGGAGTAAATAAGCCAAATAATTAGTGATGCAGATAGTATGAGCAGACCGATAGATAAGAATAAAAGGTAAACGGATATCATAATAAGAGGACAGGAATAAGTTAGTCATATATGAAGATGTAAACGGAAGATAGGTTGCGAGGCAGTTGGTCCAGACGTGAGTACGTGTTTGTCATATCTCCTCTTGAAGCCGTCCACTGAATAAGCTGTAGTGACTCACATTTATCACGAGAACACGACTGGTTTAATAGAAACAATTATTATTATAACCAACTGTACCAGTGCTTGTTTTAATGTGCTTTTGTTTGACTATGCTAATGACAGCTATTTTGTGCTTCCATTCTTTTACTTACACTTTTGATTGTGACTTCGCGCGAATTCGGTTACGTTCTGTAACCAAGCTTGTATCCTGGCACGATCTCGGTATCCTTTCGATGCCACGAGATCGCCAGCGAATATATCTCGATTTGGTCCATTAACTTTCTTCTGATATTTGGCTTCACGGAGATTTTATGGGTTTCTTTGGTTACGTCCAACCTTCGCCTTCTGATTTATTTGGCACGTGTATCTTGGTAGCGGTGTTCATAGTTAATCTCAACTCGACGCCACGCTACAAGGCTGTGGTCACTTCACCTGGATGAACCTTCCAAACAGAAGCAACTATTAATGAAGAAAATCGGAAGAGTACCCGATTCTTTTCTTTTTGACGTGCAATATTCTGGAGATCATCTCGTAGAGTGTGATATTGGTGTTCTGATAGGATATTTGTGTTGAGGCGACTTGTCATACTTAGTGTTATGCGTACCACCACCAGATCACCTCTCATTCCTCTTTAGCTCAGTGAACACAATCTGAAGTTTAGGTGTCTACCTTTGTAAGATTTGTCCCTCAGACCTATCACCAACTTAGTTTCCTGTCTCTATACTTCGTTCAAGAGATTTGTGTCTTTTTTAGAGGTGAGGTTCAATAACTTTGTGAACTTTAAAGTTGGTACTTGAATATGCTTTAAAATGGGCCAAAACCATTTCTGGGCTGATTGCGTCAAATAATCTTTTCTTAGGGTGAAGGGCTTCATTTCCTTTGGCCGCACCTACAATGCAATTTGAGCTAGTGTCCAACGTTCCTGTAGTTAATTGCCCTAGATCACTCTTTGAGGGCACAGTTGGGAGCGGATTTTCATTGACAATGTAGGTTGTTTGTGTCCCATCGGGCTGAATGTTTATAGCACGATATTTTGACAGACTAAATTTAAACAGGCTCCCACTGTCCATTTACTCATTGTTGAGAGATTGTAGTGACTCACGTTTATCACGAGAACACGACTGGTTTAATAAAAACAATTATTATTATAACCAACTGTACCAGTGTTTGTTTTAATGTGCTTTTGTTTGACTGTGTTAATGACAGCTATTTTGTTCCTCCATTTTCTTACTTACACACTTTGATTGTAACTTCGCGCGAATTCGGTTACGTTCTGTAACCAAGCTTGTATCCTGGCACGATCTCGGTATCCTTTCGATGCCACGAGATCGCCAGCAAATAAACATCGACTTGGTCCATTAACTATCTTCTGATATTTGGCTTCTCGGGGATTTTATGGAGTCATTTGGAACGAGCTTCTTACGTCTTCTGATCTATTTGGCACGTGTATCTTGGTAGCGGTGTTCATAGTTAATCTCAACTCGACGCCACGCTACAATTGGTAATCCCAATTCGAATACAATTGGTGACCCGTATTTTGGAACACGCCTCATCCTCTGATCAAATCTTCCAAAGAAGCCGATTCGGTGAGTCTCTGATTTATCTATCCACGTCTGTCGTATATTTTCATATTTTTTAATATATAATATACGCGACATGACGGATAACGATAAGAATAGTATCAATATAATAGACTCACACGTATGTGTACCGAACCCTTGTCACTTTTTATTCGCGTGATGATGAGTTCCACGCTTTATTCGAGAAATGTTACCCTATTAACGATTCTCCTCGCTGACCCGGCTGCTTGGTACGGAATGCATACGCATAAGCATATCCGTCTACCACCCAGCACCAAATGGTTAAGTTGAACGGTTTCATTGCCAACTTAAAAGTGCTCTACGAGCACACGAGAACGACAACTGGTACGAAACCTTATCGCTCGTCCTCTTAGGTATTCGAACGAGCTTGAAGGCAGATATACAATGTTCCGCCGCTGAAATGGTATACGGCACGACATTGCGTCTGCCCGGAGAATCCTTCACACTACGGAGCAGACCTAATTTCGGTAAATCAGACAACGTCCGTCGACTGTCTGCATTTATGTGAACGCTGTCTCCGGTGTCAACTCGAATACAACATCGACAGGTCGCTCTCCCTCGAGAGTTATCTACCTGTTCACATGTTTTTGTACGAGTAGATTCGGTACGCAAACCTTGGCAACAACCTTACGAAGGCCCTTTTCACGTGATCGCTCGTCACGAAAAGACCTTCAAGGTTGATCGACATGGACGCGTCGAGATCGTCAGCATTGATCGTCTCAAACCAGCACACGTCGATGACAGTGCCCTATCTGACACCCTGAGATTCAATGCTAGACCTATCAAACCTAGCAGGATCTTAAATCTTCTTCAGGTCCCACGCTAGATACATCTGAGACCTCATTCTCACGTCCCAGTCAACAGCACGCGTCATCTGCACCGTCTACGGACGAGACGACAGTCTCACGTCCAGATCAGCAGACCACGCCGCCCTTGACTTTGGATGAGATTGCAGGCTCACGCGACGCGAACGAGACTATCGTCCCACATTCCGGTCGCCGAGTACGGTTACTCGTACGCTTCCTCGACTAGTCGCACAGTCGACAACCGATATGGTGTAGGAATATTCCTATGCTACTTGCATGCTACACTCTTCTTTTTTTTTATTTTCTTTTTGTTTCCTGAGCCCACGCCTTCGACCATCTCCGTTTGGTTCCGTCGACTTCAGTCAACTTTGGCGAAAGCTGGCCTGACCACCCATGCTCTTGTCAACGTACTCAGTCGATATATTGGTTTCGAATGCTTGGCATACGCTTGGTCTCGAACTTGGTCGTTACGGTCGCTTCTGGTCTTTTGGCTCAACGTGGTTTCGTCCTACGTCTGCAGCGTTTCTGGTGCGCACCTCTACGAACGCCCTCTTCAGATTCTGGATACAAACCACTCTGGTGTAGCATGCCAACTCGAGCAATCAATACAACACATCGCTCCTGGTACTGTTATCCGAAAACGACCTTCGTTGGCAACTCGACGATTAACGATCGCTTTCCTGTTCGCCAATCTTCCCATCCTACAATCTCTCGTCAGCCGATCAGTCCCACGATTCAAACCGCTATTTATCGAAAGTGTAAACCCTTTCTAGCGGGGGGGTTCCTGTAGTGACTCACGTTTATCACGAGAACACGACTGGTTTAATAAAAACAATTATTATTATAACCAACTGTACCAGTGTTTGTTTTAATGTGCTTTTGTTTGACTGTGTTAATGACAGCTATTTTGTTCCTCCATTTTCTTACTTACACACTTTGATTGTAACTTCGCGCGAATTCGGTTACGTTCTGTAACCAAGCTTGTATCCTGGCACGATCTCGGTATCCTTTCGATGCCACGAGATCGCCAGCAAATAAACATCGACTTGGTCCATTAACTATCTTCTGATATTTGGCTTCTCGGGGATTTTATGGAGTCATTTGGAACGAGCTTCTTACGTCTTCTGATCTATTTGGCACGTGTATCTTGGTAGCGGTGTTCATAGTTAATCTCAACTCGACGCCACGCTACAATTGGTAATCCCAATTCGAATACAAGATCTTTCTGGAACTCAAACGGATCTTTTTCGTTTCTTGTAGATCTCCACATCTTGACATCACCAACGTATGCGGCAGTCGGTGAGTTGGTTTCGTCTAGGAGATTATTGATCAAAATAAAAAAGAGGTGGACCTAAAATGTTTTTTGTGAGATTCCCTACGTCAAACTTTCTAGCTCTAGATCAACCTGTATTCATTGGTGTGAAGTAGTCAGTGCTTCAGATAACTTCAGAGCCAGCATAGAGCAGGACAATGGAGACTAAGTGCATTACTGTGCCAAATGCTTCTGAGGAATCAATAAATGTCCTATGAACCGATGACTTCTGGTCTCAGCAATTCGTCCAGCTGTTCCATGCTGTAAGGAGGTTGAATGTACGGGATCTGTTCCTTCTAAACTGCTACTCAGCTTCATGGTGGACGCTGGTTTTTTTCAATTTATCACTTCATTCGGTCATTCGCCAGTCCTTCCATCTTTTTGATAGTACTGGAAGTAATC